GCAGCGTGGGTTGTGAGGTGGAGTGGCATCCTGGCCGTCGCAGCTCAGCGAGCCTTTGCAGCATCCCTGCTTGAGTTGCCCCCCGGCGGAGAGTGCAGTGCTGGCGGGCCCGAACCCGCCCTGTGCGCATCGCCGCTGATCAACGACCTCCCCGCCGTTGTTGCGGATGCGCTGCCGAAAAAATGTAATTTCTCGTTTTTCGGCCCTTCGTTTTCTTCGGATTTTTGCAGCTGTACGAATGTGTGGCAAACGGTGACATTGAGGGGTCTCGCCGCTGACCCGCTCAGGCCACCCGGCAGCCGCGCGCAGCGGAGTCCGATGGGCGGCTTTGCGCGTTGCCGAGAAACGCAAACATGACACATGCCCGGAGCTGAGTGCAGGTGGTTCGCAGCATCGCGTGGTCTTGGGCAAGGCACAATGTCACCCATCCTTTGCCTTCGGGCGAATTCCGTAATTGCCACACCGAAAATCCCGTTTTTTCTCTCAACGGACCTTTCTGGCAAACAGTTACCGTGGTCCCAGTGCAAACAGGTTCTGGGTGGAGTGAGCAACACGGAGGCGGCCGAAATCCACAAATCCACCGGCAGGGCCATCAGGGCATGCGGCTGGCGAGAAGCGGAGTTTCAGACGAGTCCGCGAGGAGATCACTGATGAAAGGCAAGTTGCCATCAACATTGCCGGTGCCGACCAGGGAAGGCCCAAGGAGGCTGGCGGCAAACGCGCGTGCGGCCGTGATGGACAAGATGGCCGACCAGCGAAGTGCGAGGGCGGAGGTGCACGCTGCGCGAGAAGGGGCCGAGCTTCGTCACTCCACCGGCCACCAAGTTCAATGCCAAAGACGACTAGGCGGCAATGCGCTGATTGGAGCAACTTAGGGTCAGTTCGCTCCGTCGCCCGACGAGGGTTCAAAAAACCTGTGATAGCAACGGCGAAACTGTCCCCGAGGCCCTCCCCTCATGAATGGGACGCTGATTGCCCGCTGGTTTGGCAATTTTCCACGGCATTTTTTTTTACAATGTTCCAAAAGTGCGACATGATTTTGTGCTCATTTCTGTGTTTCGGATTGTGGCGACAGAGGCAGCATGTTGCAGCCACAGGGAAAACCTTCAACCATAAAATCTCGCAGGTATGAATTGATTTTCTTTCTTTTTTTTGCGCACCTTTTCTGGCCAATCCGCGGCTTCCATGTCATGTACAGCGCTCTTGTTCCCCAAAAAGTGAATGAGGCCAGCCGCTCACCTGGGCGGGAGGCAGCTGGCCAGCACTGGGTGCTCCCAGCGGTTGTCGGCCAAGAGCTCGAGAGGCTCGAGCAGGGAGCTGTGAGCTGGCGTATGCCAGCGGCCGCGCAGCGCTGCCCATCTGGAAACCCAGG